AAGATTCTTGAAAAACGAGAGCAAAGTATATATTTTCAATTTTAGTCAATTTAAGTTCTCTCGAGACGATTCAATTTTGGTAGAAGGAAAATCTCGTTTAAAAATCTACTCGTCCAGCGAAGTGCGAATTCAATAACGGACTCGATTTCTCAACTCTGTCCATTTTCTCTTGCTGGTTACACCTGTAACCTCTCACGCCGATTTTCTCTACTACTATTTTTTTTTTTTTATTGTAATTTAGGATTATTTTTAATATTTTTTTTTTTTTTGAAATAATCTCTCGAATTATTATTAACGCAAAAGTCACTATTAATTAAAAAGTTTTAGTGTAAAAGGGTCGAAAAAGTCGAAAAAAATCGAAAAATCAATAATCATAAGTTGTGAGGTCGTTGAATATGAAAGCAATGTCAGTTTTTCAAAATTCAAAATGGCGAATCCAATATGGCGGACGATTTTTACAAAAATTGTTTGGATTCACCTAAAATTTGTTACTCAGTAGTTTTTAGGGTCGTGGACTAAAAATATGTTGTCGGTTTTTCAAAATTCAAAATGTCGGATCAAATATGGCGGACCGTTTTTAGAAACTATTGCGAAAAATTTTTTTAAAATTTTGTAAACAATTGAAATCCTGGTAAATTTTTATTATTTATGAAAATAATTAAATATGTTTGCGTAGAATTTTATTAATTTTTTTTTAAATAATTGAATTTTAGCGAAGAATTTTGCTGTTTATAAAGATAATTGAAAATAATTGAATTTCTGAAAAGAATTTTATTGCTCTTGGAAATATTTATTCTCGTGATGAATATTGTTATTTATGAAAATAATTGAATTTTGCAAATAATTTTATTAAAATGCCTCAAAATAATTGAATTCTTGGGAAGAATTTTGATATTTATTAAGATAATTGATTTCTTTCTAAGAATTGCGTTAAAATTTTGAAAATAATATTAAATACATATTAGAAAATTCAACTAATCTCAACAGAATTGAAATTAAAATTGTATTAAAAATAATTGAAATCGAGCAATAAATTTTGTTATTTTTGGAAATAATTGAATAAAATTTTGGAAAGAATTTGATTAAAATGCCTCAAAATAATTGAATTTTCAAAAATAATTTTGTTACTTATCAACATAATTGGATTCTTCCGAAGAATTATTTATGTAAATAATTGAATTCTTGGGAAGAATAATAATTAATAAGAATAATAATAATAGATGAATAATTTGGAAAAAATTTAGTTAAAATCGTATTTAAAATAATTTATATATCGAACAATTTTTTAAAAATATTTAAAAGTAATTGAATTCTTGTAAAAAATTCTAATATTTTTTTAAATAATTGAATTATTCCAATGAATTTGAAAAAACTTTTTTTTATAAATAATTGATTTTTTCGAAGAATTGAAATTAAAATTTTAAGCAATTCCTGTAAGATAGTATTAAAAATAATTGACATTCTGCGACGAATTTTTTATTTATGAAAATAATTAAATAGTTGCTAAGATTAATAGTTTGCTAATTTACGTAAAATTTTCAAAAATCATTGAATTACTGTGAAATTTTAATTATTTATGAATATAATTCAATGTTTGCGTAGAACTTGATTAGGATTTTTTTTAAATAATTCAATTCTTTTGGAAAATTTTATTAAAATAGTACATAATAAAAATCATTGAATTGAGGAAATTTTTTGAAATAATATTTAAAATTTTCTCAAGAATTTTATTAAAATTTTTGAAAATGATTGAATTTCAGAGAAAAATTTAATTATTTATAAAGAAACTTGAAATTTTGACAAGAATTTTTCTTAAATTTTTGAAAATAATTGAATTTTTGCGAAGAATTTTATTACTTTTGAAAATAATTGAATTTCTGCAATCATTTCTAACTTTTATAAAATTCAATTTTTTTTTTTGTATTTTTAACTAAGATTCTTTTATAAATCTATTATTTTTTAATAATTAATTAAATATTTATGAAAAAATTTAACTTATTTCAGAAGAATTTGAATTTTTTCAAAAATCTAAGTACTTTTCTAATTAAATTTATTTAAAATTAAAATTTTATAAAATTTAAAATTAAAACCTTTTGAAGTTGATGTGTTTTAATTAATTTAGATATATTTAAGTAAATCTAGTCATTAAATAATTTATAAATTGTTAAATATGAAAGCAATGTCAGTTTTTCAATATTCAAAATGGCGGATTCAATATGGCGGACGATTTTTACAAAAATTGATTGGATTTAGCTAAAATTTGTTTCTCAGGGGTTTTTGGGGTCGTAGACTAATAATATGATGTCGGTTTTTCAAAATTCAAAATGGCGGATCCAATATGGCCGACGGTTTTTAGAAAAATTGATTGGATTCACCTAAAATTTGTTACTTGGGGGTTTTTGGGAACGTAGATTTAAAAAATGATGACAGTTTTTCAAAATTCAAAATGGCGGTTTGAATATGGCCGACAATTTTTTTTTAAATTGAACCAATTCGCCTGAAACTTGTTACTCGGGGGTTTTTGGTATCGCTGATTATGAATCTAATGAAAAAAAAATCGTTTTTTTTGTGAGAGTGAATGGAAAAATAGTGGCAACCAAAGGAGAAGAAATTTTATAAGAAAAAAAGAAAATGTGACAAAAATATAAAATACGAGAGATTGTCGAAATAGAATTTCCTCGAATTACTATATAAACGTATATAATTCAATTTTCCACCTCTTCAATTTACTTTCAATGAGAAAATAAATCATCCTTTGAATCTCACATTTTGAAATATAAACAGAAGATGACATAGTTCATTTATGAGTGGCGTATGCGTCGCGCACTATTCCTGCCGGCATAGAATAAAATTGACGTTGCCCTGGTCTTCTCCTCCCTTTACGTCGACGTAAACGCAAACGGAGACGGCGTCTTGATGCTTTTTGGCGTCGCGACGCCTCAGTCCAACATCGTCGTTCGTGCGTACATATTCCTCGAAACTGTTTTCGTGCTCCAATTTTTTTTTCATTTCTAAAAACAAAAAAAAAAAAAAAAAAAAAAAAATACGTCATTAGAAGAAAAAAAATCGGAAACTAAAAAAAATAAACTCCCAGTGAAAGTTATGGTGGAAAAAAGTGAGTGATTTTTAAAGGGATTATTTTCTCGCAATTATCACACGTTTTTTGTGAATCAAACTCCTTCGTCCAACAGGTTGCAAGGAATCTCTCGTCGAGAATTTTCTCATTGTTAATATTTATTCATAAAATTGAAAATTATTTTTCTATTCATTTTTTTGTAGCGAAAAATTTTTTTTATTCCTCAAAATAAAAACAAATGGAGAAATGTTAAAATTTTTTTTGTTAATGAATTTTAAAATTGAAATTTTTTTTTTGAAAATTGAGGAAAATAATTTTCTATTTTGTCAAAAGTGGAGAATGGTGATTAGGAGAATTGTTTTTCTATTACGTAAGCGGGTTCATATTACCGTTTCGTAAACCACGAAACGACTGCGAGTTCATGGCTCAGGAAGTATCGCATTTGCTATTTTCGTGAACACCTTCACGTTTTTCCGCCTGGTTGCGAAATGTTTTATTATTTTATGCCACAATCTTATTTTATTAATGTTTTCATTCCTAACAAAGTAAGAAATTTTTTGTTTTTTTTACTATTTAAAAGTTTTAAAAAAAGTTCTATTTTTTGTTGTCTACTATCAAATGTATTGTGTTCAAACATAATTTAGAATTATGGAAATATTTTTTCTCCTCGGTAGTCGGTAACTAGAAAAGTTGCATTTTATTAAAAAAATTTTAAAAATCATAAGAAATAAAATTATCAATTGTTTTAATTATAATGAATAATATAATTATAATAAATTTCAATTTATAATTTAATATAATTATAAAAAAAATTGTAATTCAATAATTTATAATGTTTTTTTTATACTACATTTTTCATTCAATAATTTATAAACAGATATTAAAATATTTAATTATAAATTATTAAATGAAAAATGTTGTAGTTACATTGTAGTTATACAAAATATATTTTCCAATATTTACAATTTAAAAAAGTGAAGAAAAATTTTTTTTTTAAACTACAACATTTTTTATTTAATAATTTATAATTAATTATTATAATATTTAATTTATGAATTATTAAATGAAAAATGTTGTACTTATACAAAATATATTTTTTAATATTTACAATTTAATAAAGTAGAGAAAATATTAAAAAAAAAAAAAAAAATAGAAATGTTTTTTAATTATAATTAAAATACTAGTGGAAAAATAATTAAAAATTAAATAATACTTAAAGGCATAAAATGTAGGAGGAGATTTTTATCTTATAATTAGAATTTTACTCGAAAGTTTTATCAAAAGGAAAAAAATATCAATAAATGGTTTATTGTGGGCGACAGTTCACTTCCGTAAACTTTGCGTCTACTTGTCTTTCCTTTTTTTTTTTCTTGCTCTCGTCTTATTATTTTTTTTCCCTGTCAGCCCAAGAGTCTTCAGACTCTCATCACTCGTGCTTCTATATTAATGAACCGCAAAGACTGTCTCCTTCAATGTAGAAAGTCTTTGAGACTTGTTTCCAGTTGCTGTCGTTAAAAGTCCATAAGCTTCTTTCGTTCATCACAAATAACTCTTTTTACGTTTTGAAAAAAAATACCAAAAATCCCCCCCCAAAAAAATAAATTCGAATATTATTAAAAGTAATTAATTTTTTTCTAAACCTAGATTAATTAGTTAATCTAAATTAAATGTCTGATTTAGGTCAACGAATTCATAAACAAAATTCAGAAAATACTGAATAAAAATTCCAAATGATTGATAAATATTGGTAATCGAGAAAATAAATTCCGTAAAGAAATTGTTAATATTTCATTTGATTTTTTCAGTAAAAAATTTTCAGTTCAATGAAATCAAAATTAAGGAGAAAAATTAGTATAAATAAAAAAAAAAATTTTTTTTCTTGTGAGAATTTAAAAGTTTTTCTACTTTTTTGATCCTATTCCAGAAAGTGTCATGTTTGCCCCGACGTTCAAAGCTTCATCTGCGAAGCCAGGTAAATCGTGTGTGAAAATTCATTGCATTTCTTTTTTCATATTGTTTCGCTTTTACAAAATAAAAACATGTTTAATGCATTTTCACGTCGAATTGAAAATTTTGCGAGAGAAATAAATATATATTTTACCAACAACAGTATTTTTACAATTTAATTAATAATAAAAAGTTTCTTTCTTTCTTTCATGTTAAATACAAAGTTATTTCAATTAAAAAATGTAATTTAATTATAATTTAATTTCAAAATTAATCGAATTAAAAAATGTATTTTAATTAAAATTTAATTTCAAAATTAATTGAATTGCAAAATGTAATTTAATTACTTGAATTGAAAAATGTAAATAAAATAAAAATTCAATTAAATTAATTATAAATTAATTTTAATTTAAATTAATTATAAATTAATTTTAATTTAAATTAATTTACATTATTTAAAAGGAATATAAAATTAAAACATCTCAATTTTTAAGTTTAAATTTTAGTTTTTTAGTTAGTTGAAATTTAATAATTTAAAAAATTTCAATTATCCACAAAATTGTCATAATTTTACTGAAAATTTTTTTTTAGTCATTTTGTAATAATTTTTCCATAATTGAGAGAGAGAAAGAGAAAACGAAAAATGATAAAACATGAAAAATTGAGAAAAATGTAAAATATAAAAGTAATTGTTTTCTCTTTATTTTATCACAGTTGAAAATATCTCTTGACAATCTACTAGATGTTAAATGAATTATTTCTCTCATTAAAATTATTATAATTTAACATATTAAAAATGTGTGTGTTAAACTAATAAAAAATTTATAACAAAAAAGTGCTCAGCATGTCTGATTGATTGAGCTTTTTCTGTGAACTAATTTTATCCTCCAGGAAAGTGATTAATATTTTTAAAATTCATATTCGTAGTTAAAACATTTTTTTTTTATTTTAGATATAATATAATTCTTTATATTGTCCGTGTAGAAAGGCGAAAAGGCTTTGTCTAGATTTTAAAATTAAAATCCAATTGCAATTACATATGCGATCTGCTGATATTCTAATTTTACACGTATCTTGAAACGGGACACTCTTGATTTCCTGTTGTCGCAAAAGGGACACGTGTATATAGCGGATACTATAAATCCGACTACAAACTAATCTCAAAAGACAGAATAATTTATGAATCTCTGTACATTTAGATATTTTACGTTAGTAGTAAATTTTTTTTCCATTACATATTATAGGGAAATTATGTTTTTTACTCTTTAAGCTCTTAACTTGACACATATATGTGATTTTTCTGAAAATTCTACTTTTAAACATCGATTTTTTAATTTTGTTTTTAAATGAAATATTATTAAAGTTTTTTCCAAATTTTTAAAATTTACTCTCTAAATTTAAATTTGTAAAACTTATTTCAATCAGTGACTGACTTTTTGCTTTTGAATTAGTAAATTTTACTATCAAATAGTAATTTTTTACTATAACAAATAGTATTTTTACTAATTCAAATTAAGAGAGTAAAAAAAATTTTTTTTTTTAAATATTTTTTCTATTGAAACTACTTTATTTTAAACTTGATTATTTACAAAAACAATTTTCTCCCTTCTTTTTATAAATAATATATGGGAAAAGTAAACATCAGAAACTTTTATTTTAATGTTCATTAAAATTTTCTTTACGTTATTTTTAATGTATAAAAATATTAACTATTTTTAACTTAAAGCTTTTGAAGAGAAAGTTTAACATTTTAATAAAATATTAAATTGAGGTCTAAAAAATTTTTAAATTATAATGATAGAAAAAAAATTGTACCACAATAAAAATTTTCCCTTTTTTTCAAATTTAATACCTAAAAGAAAACTTGAAAAATTTTTTTTTTCAAATTCTGCGCAAAAATTGGACAAACATAAAGAATACACCTCGAATATACTTTTTTAGGATAATCGGTGTATTTTCGTTGAAAATCACGAAAATACTGAGTTATAATAAAACGGTGAAGGCTTTTTTCAAAGATTTATTGACGAAAATAGAGTTCGGTTTGTTTATTTGGCTTGTCCTCGTTTTCTTTATAGTACATAATGTTTTATGAGTTCTAATCACTTGAGAAAACACGTCGTGAAATTTTTCAAATATTCACGCCTCGAATAGTAATTAATTACTTTTTCCATTTCACTCTCTACGAGTTCTCTGACATCTTCAAGGTCGGATTTTATTTTCTCGTCATCTAAAATCAAAGTTTCAAGAAAAGTGAGGAAAAAAATTTTTTTTAGGTAATCTTCTTTCTTTGAGTCGATATGTTACAAATAATAATGAAATAAAATTAAAATTAATTTAAACGATAAATTAAATAGCAAAAATCAAGAAATTTTTTTCCAATTTTATTTATAACTAATGGAAAATTATTATCTTTAGTCAAAAAAAAAAAAAAAAAAAAATTGTTGACTGAAAATAATTTTTAAAAATAGAATGTAAGATTGTAAGCTTGCCGTGCAAGTTTTGAAGCTTGCAGCAAGATTGCTGCAAGCTCCCACGCATAGGAAACTTGCCATGTAAGCTTGCTGCAATATTGCCTGATAAGAATGTCGAAAGCTTGCAACAAGCTTGCAGAAAGATTACACAGCAAGCTTTCTAAAGATAAAACAGTTAAAGCTTGCGACAAGCTTGCATCAAGCTTGCAGAAAGCTTACACGGAAGGCTTTCTAAAGATGATACCCTCTTAAAGCTTGCAAAAAAGCTTGCAGCAAGATTACACGAAAAGCTATCTAAAGATGAAACGTTTAAAGTTTACAACAAGCTTGCAATAATCTTGCAACAAGCTTGTAGAAAGATTAAACGACAAGCTTTCTGAAGATGAAACGTTTAAAGCTTATAACAAGCTTGCAGCAAGATTTCTGCAAGCTTAATTTAATAGTAACTTCCATATAGAAATAGGATAGGAAGCTTGCTGCAATATTGCCAGATTAAAATGTCGAAAGCTTACGTTCAGCTTGCAGCAAGCTTTTACAGGAAGCTTTCTAAAGATGTAACGTTTAAAGCTTGCATGAAGCTTGCAGTAACATTACTGCAAGCCTACTTTAATTGTAACTCCCAGAGAGCAAAAAATCGTCCAATTTTTTGCTACCTGGAAGTTACAATTCTTCATAAATGTTACACTTTCTTGAAAGTGATGATTATAATTTTAATAATAGATGAACTTTCATAAAGAAAGATCTAGGAAGTGAAACCACTGTTTCAGAATGTCATCATATCGTGAAATTAATAGAGATGACAAACCGGGTGGATTTGAGATGGTTGAGGGAAAGAAGAGTTCTTTATGTAATATACGCCTTCGCATAATCCAAGATTAGCAACGCCCTCACATTTGAAATGAATGTTTTGGCCCTCGCTTTATAAATTCACGTGGTTTCTTGTATGTCTGCTTTTATCATAACAGTGCAAAGACCCTAATTATATAACTATATGTATGCCATCGTTAAAAGGAACAATTTTGTTTTGTTTTAATATCCTTGCCAAGTGTCTACTTTTTTTTCTAACAAACTAATTTATTGTCGATTTACTATTTTCAATTCACTTAATTATTATTATTATTATTATTTTAATTACAAAAAATATTTTTGCATGTTAGGAATTTTTTTTTTTTGATTAAGGAGTCTTTAGAATATACACTAGAAAAGTAAATTACGAAAGGAAAAATGTTGGTACAACTAGTAGTGAGAGTTGAAAACTATGAATTTTTGAGCAAGAAGTTCAAGTGATGGTAAAATCAATAAACGTTATTGAAAAATATTTCCACAAAGCTGTATTTATAACTGAAACGTAAGCTTTAATTTAAGACCAGAATCATTGAAAAATATTTACCTCACTCCTAGATATCTTTAAATTTGTACGTGCTTATTTTAATGATTTCGAACAAAAATGAAATTGGACATTTTTATTAATATCTAGAAAAGTAATAATAATTGTAATATTTTTGTTTTTTTACTATAAGGGCTATAAAACTAGGCGTAAAATAATACATTACAGATCAATTTTTGATTGAAACTTTCGATTTTATCACCGGGTTTGTGTAAAACGGAAAAATCTTAAATTTATCGATTTTTGTACCCTAAGTACAACTGATCGGGAAATCAAGATGAGTTATTAAAAAGTTTTTTTATCAATAAAAAGTATTTGTTACGAGAACGTAAAGTTCAATTTAAGATGAGGACAGTTGAAAGATATTAAAGTGAGTCATAGATATCATTAAAAATGTACGAGCCTATTATTCCAAAAACAGTAGAATAAATAATGCTTCAACACTTTTAATAATATCTAGAAAAGTTGTAAACATTTCGAAATTTTTTTTTTTTTTGTTTTTAAGTTCATAAAATTATGCTTCGAATGACCCATCATTGATCAATTTTGGAATAAACTGGGTGATTTTATCATCTGGTGAGTAAGAAACCCAAAAGTCGCAAATTTTTCGATTTTTGGACAATAGGTTCAAGTGATCGCGAAATCAATAAACATTATTAAAAGATATTTTTACTAAACTATATTTATCTTTTAAACGTAAGCTTCAATTTAAGACAAGAATCATCGAAAAATATTAACCCTGCTCCTAGATAACACGAAATTTGCACAAACCTGTTGTTCTAATAATTTTAGACGAACTGGACAACTGGACATTTTTTGTGATATTTACAAAACTGGAAAAGATTTTTTAATTTTTCTTTTTTTCTCTTAAAGTCCATAAAATTCTGCTTCGAATGACCTATTATTGATCAATTTTGGAATAAACTGGGCGATTTTATCATCTGGTGAGTAAGAAACCCAAAAGTCGCAAATTTTTCGATTTTTGGACAATAGGTTCAAGTGATCGCGAAATCAATAAACATTATTAAAAGATATTTTTACTAAACTATATTTATCTTTTAAACGTAAGCTTCAATTTAAGACAAGAATCATCGAAAAATATTAACCCTGCTCCTAGATAACACGAAATTTGCACAAACCTGTTGTTCTAATAATTTTAGACGAACTGGACAATTGGACATTTTTTGTGATATTTACAAAACTGGAAAAGATTTTTAAATTTTTCTTTTTTTCTCTTAAAGTCCATAAAATTCTGCTTCGAATGACCTATTATTGATCAATTTTGGAATAAACTGGGCGATTTTATCACCATGTGAGTAAAAAACCTAAAAGTTGCAAATTTCTCCTTTTTTGGGCAATAGGTTCAAGTGATTGCAAAATCAATAAATGTTATTGAAAAATATTTTTACTAAACTATATTTATGTCTGAAACGTAAGCTTTATTTTAAGATACGAATCATCGAAAAATATTAACCCTGCTCCTAGATATCACTAAATTTGCACGAGCCTGTTGTTCTAATAATTTTAGACGAAAAGATGACTGGACATTTTTTGTGATATTTACAAAACTAGAAATGATTTTTTAATTTTTCTTTTTGTGTCTTAAAGTCCATAAAATTCTGCTTCGAATGACTTATTATTGATCAATTTTGGAATAAACTGATCGATTTTATCACCATGTGAGTAAAAAACCTAAAAGTTGCAAATTTTTCCTTTTTTGATCAAAAGGTTAAAGTGATCGCGAAATCTTTAAACATTACTGAAAAATATTTTCACTAAACTATATTTATAACTGAAACGTAAGCTTTGATTTAAGAGAAAAACCATTTAAAAATATTAACCCGGCTTCTAGATATCGATAAATTTGCATGAGCATATTGTTTTAATAATTTTAGCCAAAAAAGTGATTGAACCTTTTTTGTGATATCTAGAAAGCTGGTAAAAATTTTTTAATTTTTCTTTTTTTGTCTTAATGTTCGTGAAATTATGCTTCAAATGACCTATTATTGATCAATTTTCGAATGAACTGACCGATTTTATCGCTTGGTGAGTGCAAAGCCCCAAAGTAGAACATTTTTCGATTTTATAGCAATAGGTTCAAGCGTTCGCAAAATTAATAAAAGTTATTGAAACATATTTTTTATTAAACTTTATTTATAACAGAAACGTAAGCTTCAATTCAAGACCAGAACCATTGAAAAATATTAATCCAGCTCCTGGATATCTTTAAATTTGTACGTGCGTATTTTTTCAATGATTTTGTACGAAAAGGTATTTTTACATTTTTAGTGATATTTACAAAAGAAGACAAAATTTTAAACTTATTGTTTTTTTGTGTTGAAGTCTATGAAATTCTACGCCAGTTGACATATTACTGATTATTTTTAATTATATCTCTCATATCTATTTCCTTAGAAGTGCAAAACCTAAAATTACGAATTTTTTTATTTTTCGATTTATCATTTTAGTTTTACCAACAATTTTTTCGCTTCGTAAAATTATCAATAAATACAAATTATACAAGGAATGAATAAGTTTTTATTAAAAGAAATGTTGAATATTTAATAATTTTAAAAGAGGAGAAAACGTATACTCGAAAAATGTAGAAAAAAAGTTGCTGTAAAAAGAAAATTGTAAAATTGAGTGTTGCAAATTAAAGATTTGAATTTATTTAACAGGTGTTTGGTCGCCTGGAAGTGAACCTCCACCGCCTCCAAAGCAACCAAGTCCAGATCGAAATAAAGACGAAAAGGACTCGGCAATTTCAGTTGTTTGGACTCCATCGAGTGCAGGACCAAGTCCTGTTCCCGAACGAAAGGAATTTCGTCCAGTTCCATTCGAAAGTCCTGTTTTGAGTAGAAAAAATAAATCCACAAAACAGGTGATTATTAAATTTTATTGTCTTTTTCAATATTTGATAATAAAAAATATTATTTGGATGAAAAATAGAAATATTTCTAAACAAATAAGCTTTTTTTTTTAAAAAGAAATGTTTCTTTAAATTTTGGTAGTATTTTTCTTTTAAGAGAAAAGTTTTATACTGTTATATACATAAAATATTTTTCAATATGACAGGAGGAAACGTCTCCACCTTGGGAAAGTGACGCACAAAGAAAAGAAACATCAAATGCTCTTTCACAAAATATCACATCTCGTATCGTCAACTCTCACTCAGCTCCATCTCAAGGGTTGAACACACTTGCCGGTGCACCTCGTTTACCTCGGGCGCAAAATCCTACAATCACGCTTCTACAGAAAGCCAGAGGTTTGTATTTAAATTTTAAAATAACGTCAATCTCACTATTCGAGAGTAAAAAAATTCTTTGAAAAAAATTTAAAAATATTTCCATCAATTTTTTTTTTTGACCTAGAAAAATGGTCCATTATGAAAATTGAAATTTTAATTAGTTCTTTCGAATTCAAATTTTCGTCTCAACAAAACTTGACAATTTAAAATTTAAATTTTCCAATAAAGTATTTAATAAATTGTATTTGAAAAACATTTTTATTTAAATTTTTAGAGGGACAATTGCCAAAAGGAGCGGCGTATCTAGAAGAGTGCCAAAGTTTACCGCGAATCAGAAACGACGAGCAGCCATTAATTAGTCCCGTTGAAAACAGTAAGTTATCTATAAAATTGTTATAAATGAAGAATTTTAAATTTCAATTTTTTTGAACATATTCCAAATTAACAATTAATTCCATTTGTCATTAAAGCGTCATTATAATCTTTTTTTGCTCAACCTATTTATACTATTTTTTACCTCATTACCTTTTCATTAAAAAATGAGAATGTAAAAATTTTTTTTTTCTTCTAAACTCCATACGCTTTATTAATGGAGCAAATATGTTCCAATATGTTTATCATCAAATGTGACGCGAAATTCGTGAGTGTTTCATATAATTAACAATTTACACATAAAATTGCAAAAATCAATGCCGAAACTTATCAGCATTTGCACAGTTTATACCGTGAAGAAAGAATACGAGAGCGAACCAGAAATGAATAATTATTCAAGAAAAAAAATAATCGAATTGGCTCCTCGGAAAATTGAAGGTATTGGTCCAACAACAAGAGATGGAGTCCCACTAGTTTTGAGATCAGTAAGATATTTTATTTTTATGTCTTTGCATATAAACGAAACGAATTGAAAAAACAAATAATAAATAATTGAATTTATTATAAATTAATTAAAAATCAAGAACAAAAAAAATTTTTTTTAATGAAACGATTCTCTTTCAGGAAGTTAAGGAAGACAATCAAGCAAAATGGTACAAAAGAATGTACGATTCATTGCACCGCGCTGAGAAAGACGGTCAGTTATTTTATATAAAAACGGGAATATTGTTTTAATTACATTTTTTAAAATTAAATGAGAAAAATAATTAAAACTGTAAATTTCTGCTTCAATTTAACCCTTTCGTGACCCCTACGAATTCAGCGATTAGATTTTGTTGATACTTGTAAATGAGGGGTTTTTGGGATCCCAGATTACGAATTTGAAGTCAGATTTTCAAAATTTTGAAAATTCAAAATGGCGGATCCAATATGTCGGACATTTTTTAGAAAATTGCTCAAATTTACATAAAACTTTTTACTCGGGGGTTTTCGGGATCGCTGATTACAAATCTAAAGTCAGATTTTAAAAAATTCCCCGAAAACCTTAAGCAAATTTGACCAGATTTGAAAAAAATGTTCACAATTTTGAATTTTCAAAAAATTTTTAAATCTGACTTTAGATTCATAATCAGCGTCCCCAAAAACCCCTGAGTAAGAAGTTTTAAGTGAATTTGAAGAAAATTTTGAAAAATTAGATTTCTTTATTTTCTTATAAATATTTTTGCTATTGTTTATAATAATTATAATTGTACTACGTAATTTATTATTTTTTTAATTGTAGCAGCGGTCATTCGGAATAGAAAGAAATTTACCGTAAATTAATTGATTGACTTTTATAAGACTAGCATAAATTTTTCTAAGTGGGACATATGTGTCCCACTTGGAGGCACGAAAGGGTTAAGTAGAAAAAATTTATTTTTATATATTGTAAACCTAATCACAATGCCCTGGAACCAATTTCTATCGTCAATTTAGAATTTACTTTCCTTCGAAAGTTTCTGTTACAACTTATTCGAATATTTACTAGAAAAAAAATTTTGAAAATCCGTTGGGCGCTTTTTTAACTGTTTCAACTTTTTTGAACCCCTTTAAATATAAAATGTTTTTTCTTAATTTACAATTAATTAGTATTTTTTTATTCACTACTTTCAGTTTGTCACAATTTTGATTAATATAAAACTTTTATCACTTCAACATTTTTTTAAATGATATTCTTTTTTTTTGTTTCAGTTCATATTTTATATTTTTTTACAAATGGGGACAAAAAAATACTTGCATAAGTAGGATATGATTTTATTAAAAATACTGTTATGTATAAAATATCTAATTAGATTTGTCCTATAACACTAAAATTAAAAGAAAGCTCTAGGCGAAAAAAAATTCGAAATTTTTTTTTGAAAAATGTTTAGTGAGATACAACGTAAGTAAAAGTTATGCAACAGGAATTTTCGAAGGAACGCAACTTGAAGTTTAAAATTAGTTGCAGGAAACCGAGCAAAAATTCTTATTGAGTTAATAAATCTGTTATAATAACTTTTTAATAAGAGAACAATTTTTTTTCAAACGTATAAAATTTTTTACTTTCAGACGACTACGTAACGATTCGCTACAAACCACGACGAGGTGAATATCTTCATCAAAAAAAACCAGTGCAGCTTATTAAATTATTAATATTAAAATACGCGGCTCATTAATGTACTTAACCGGCCATATATATTTATTACAATGCAGCTGCTGCTCTCAATTTTCATTTATTGTAACGAACAACTAATAATAAAATTGCTCATTCGAATTAATTATTCATTAATATTTATTGATTCGCGAGACTAATTTGCGAGTAGACATAAATATGTAGCTGTAAGCTCTTTTAATAAATCGCTGCTGCTCACAATGAAATTATCTTTTTCATCAATTCACATTGTCCACATTCAGAAAAATGTTCTTTTCTAAAAAAATTTTTAAAAATTAATTAAAAAAAAATTAATAATTTAAAAAATTAATTTTATAAAACTTGAAGAAAAGAAATTCAAAAATAAAGTTTCACTGCATAAAAAGTATGGTAATGTTTAATATCGAATGGAAAATTTTATATTTAGTAAAAATATTTTTCTGAATGTAAATTAAAATTTGAATTTTATTCTCTTTAAATATTTAATTTTTTTCTTTGTAACAAAATATTTGTGTGTGTGTGTGTATGTGCAAATAACAATAAACTGATTTACAATAATTATATGTTTGCTGTGTGACTTTAATTTTTTTGAATTTGCTAAACAGTATAATTAATATGTTAACCCTAGAACGGAAATATATTTCTATACCCTTTAGGGGAAAAGTGGGGTGGTTTTGGTAACCCAAATTTGAAACATTTGTGAAAGGTTTCTATTTTATTGAAAAAGTGGTTTAGTATAGTTTTTCAAAAAATTGGTGAATTAAAGAAATTTCGATACACTGGGTTTTTGTTTTTGAATTGCAGTGACGGTCCGGGTTTAAAAACGTGAAACCTGCAACTCACGATTTTTATCTGAAAGCAAAAAAAAATTTAACATTAATCACAAATGATCAGTTTGAAGTAATGCTTAAAATTCTAATTCATCGTGTTTTGAGTTTAACACAATGTTAGAGATTTTGACGTTAATGGGTTGAAATTGAAAATCTTATTCTATAAATGTTTTGAAAATATTTTATTTTCTAAAAAATTTAAATCATAATGGAATTATTATTCAATACTACAATGTTTTTGATTTTTAAAATAAGAAAAAATGCTGTAATTGGAAATTTGTTTTTCAGGTGCAAGATCCGGTTATGGTGGTAGCTCGAGTGGTTATTTAAGCGAACCTGAACCGCGTGGTTATTCAGAGAGATCTTCGACATATGATAGCCGTAGGCGAGTGCGGAACAAAGAAAATGAATTCTCTACGTCAACGATGCCAAAAAAGTTAGTATAAATGCTTTAAACTTTTGTAGATGATGATTTAATGAAAGTTTTATGATTTTTGGTGATTTTTCTTGTCTTTTGGAAGAGTTTTCTAAACTTCCTTAACGATTGCTCTAAAGGTCTTGTTTCATTGACCCTCTCCGATTAATTTTTCTCAATTCCGCTACTCTCTTGAGATTCATATTGATTCCCCTGAGTTTCTTAGCTTGATTACAGACTTTAATGGTCTGCTATTCATTTTGGAGTTCTTTGATCAGCGAAGGGTTTGAATTCCAACGCTAATAATTTATTACAAACATGAATTGTAGGTTCAGTCCCAATAATTTGCTTTCTGGCTGCTGTTTATTCTATAAAATATCATAGAATTCCATATTAGAGAGAATGCTTTTGTTAAATTTAAAGATCCATTGTTTCCAAATTTAAAAATCCTTTTATAATGAGGCACGCGTCAATTATAGTTCATCTGATAATTGCTCCACTTTGGCTAAATTTTATATTTAGGAGTTAAACAGCAATTAGCTTATCTGTGTGCTTAGCTAGAACCTGTGAAGTAGAGATTACTGATAAAACAAATAAATATTTAAATATTCAATCAGAATCATTTGCATCGAATCCCGTCCAAGAAATACTCTGCCACTCGCAACTACCGCTTTTCTCAAAATCCACACAATCTCATCATTAAAATTCTGATTTCACGAAAACCACAGCTCCTCACACTGTCTATAGTCTAAATTTTGATCTTTCTTCCACTTGTTCTTGTTCATCCATGTAAGTCAATAAACTATTATTACACTCTATTCTACGCATTGTTTCCTTTTTTCTCTTGTGATACATTCGACTCCCACGCATTAAACTTAATTTATTTTAACATATTTTAAAATGCTTTCCCTACACATGGCAAATTAGGCAGAGTAAGTAACGAAACACTTCGTTACAAAACTTTTATTAAACTTTGATCATTATGAACTTATGATACACTTTCCCCTCCTCCGAATATAAATTTCACTATTTACCTGTATTTCCATTAATTTTGCCAAAAAAATCTTTTTCACTTGGATACTAATTTATCAAATGATTCTCACAATAGGAGCGCAGCTCTAAAGTGCGAAGCAGACGTCTACAAAAATCAGCCAGGACGCATCGAAGATTACGTACCGGGAAAATCATCAATCGCCGAAAAGGAAACTAAAGAGGTAATTTTAAGAACATCCAAAAATTCTCCACTTATATCAAATTACAATCATCAAATTATCAAATGAGAATTTTTTGTAAAATCCCGTAAAGGAGAACTTGATCTAATTTATAATCAAGCGGTTACACCACTCTGAATGTTGTTAAAGAATTTTTTTACCCAACTCTCAACCTCGCGAGATTTAATTTTAAATTAAATCTTATTCTAATTAGAATGTTACTAAGAGGATAACGATTAGAATTGATGTTGAAAATTCTGGTCTTTATCTGGTCTTGTTCGGCAGTGAACAAGTACTGCTCAATTTATCGATGACATCTATGATGTTCGGCAGTGGAGAACCATCGTCTCAATGGTTTATTATTAGGCTAGTTGTTTACACTAATGAGATATGCTTTCAAACTAATTCTTCTTACAACTTTATTATGCAATGTCCTGAAAAAATATCTGCAAACGTCGATTTTCAAAATAAAACTCTCTGTGACTATTCTTTAGCAGACAATGAACTATGATCAGTTTCCAAATTGATACTCTCTGCCTAAATGAAACTGTTTGCTCGCTTCATATTAATTTCCCCATTATTTCAATGATTCACGAATTATACACGTAATCTCAAAGTTAAGCAATAAAATTAATTATTCTAAATGTCAGTGTGGTGTAACCTCCTGAAATTAAATCAAATTTCCTCCCAACAAATAATTAGGAAAAATTTATAGTTATTGCAAAGAGAATATTTTCCAAATCCGACAATTCATTGAAGAAATTTAGTAGAATTGTTTAATATTGCTAATAATCGGATTAGAGAATCTCTGCCTTCGAATCTGTATAAATATTGAAAGCTTGCACAATTATGAAAGTAACGCGAATATGGCGCTAATTAACGCATCGCTAGCATTATAATAATGCTCGTAACGTTCAAAACTTTTAATCCCAAATGGTATACGAGAACTAATTTAATGTAGGAGAATTATATTAAAATCGAATATGACCGTTTTGAAATGGCTTTGCTTTTAGCCAACGACACTCACTTGGACAAAAAGGAAGGTAACGATACTACGAAACAAATTCAAATTTACTACAAAAGAAATAATTACAATCTCATTGATTTTTCACTATTGGCCCCTTAAGTACATGTGGCGATGTTTTAATCCTTTTTTTTATATTTTTACAGTTGAGTGCAAGTGGAAAAAAATTAATTCTTGACTAACTAATAACTATGTTGATTCAAAGCAAATATTAAATTTTTAAAAAATGTTTTTCACTTATGACTTTTATAAAATAATTTTTTTCCACGAGTTGTAATATTTTTATTTCCATCACTCACGTAATTCGATGTATATTTAAGCTTTCAAAGAAATGTCTCACCAGTTATTATAATTTAAATATAACGTATTCTTTTATTTATTTAAGCTTCTGTAGAACCGCTTTATAGATTTTTCTATTCCATCACAAACACGCCACTTTTTTAGAAAGGAATTTTATTTTACAATTTATTAATCTCCGTTGAGAGAGAAAATCTTTTAAAAACATTTTTCCATTCAATGCGAGAAATATTAAAAATGTTAAATATTTTATTGAAAGAGAGGAAAATTAACTTTCGTAAAAAGCTTTTAAAATAATTTCAACATTAGCATAATTATTAATAACTAACTTACTAGAATTAACGATATCCTCTTATATTTAAAAGATTATACTTTAATATTTGGAAAAGTGGCGTCTTAGTAGTTATTTATAATAATCCTCTAATCTAATTTTTGAATTAAAAAGAATCCTCAGTTTAACCGCCTAGTATAATGCAGTGATTAATTCTATTTTTCTAGTGGTGGGACGAGGTCATGGACATATTTGATGGGGTAGGCCATTTTTATAAATACTTAAAATTAGATAAGACACCTCTTCTCAGTACACCTACTGTCTTTTTTTTCTCTATCAATTTTGCGATGCATAATTCAAAAACGGAAAATATTTGGGATTATTTTTTTCAAATTTCTTTCTATTCAGAAATATCACAAACAAGTGTTGAGACGATTTGCGATTTAAGGGGGCAGCCTTAGTCAAGACAGTTATTCTGAGAACTTCATAGCAATAGATGTTTATTGTTCCTCGTTCAGAATTAAAACTATTTTTAAAATTACTAATCTAGGATAGCAGATATACAGGGAGATTTCCAACTGTAGATCTCTGCACCGACATTTACCGACAGTTCTTATTCCAGACTCAAACCATAAAGTAGGGATGGTTTGAGTCTGAGGTAAAAAGTGTCGGTAAATGTCGATGCAGGGATCTTGAATTAGAAATCTCCGTTCTTTTTTCTCTATCAATTTTGCAAGGCACCCTAAAATTTTAAAAAATGTAACAAAATCGATTGTTTATAAATTAAAACTATGGTTGCCCCCTTGAGAACTAACATTTTACTTTATTCGATTGTCGATAATTGGGAAAAAAGTTAAAATATTTTTGTGATAATTGGAACTTTTTGTTCCAATTATCGACAAATCATAACAAACTTTAACATATATTATAATTTCTTTTTAAATTAATGGGCTTTTAAAATATTCGCTATTTTCTAATCGTAATGAGCACTATCACTTTTCTTCTCCCGTCTGTGGTAAACAGAAATTATTCTACTATTTTTTTTTATCTGTATTCCCTAATTCAAGAAAATGCGTATTTTATTCAAAATTTCTCACACTATATATTGAAATGAATATTGTCTGATAATTGTAGTAAAAATGTTAAGGAAATATTTATATTGAATTTTGATCGATGTGTGTCTTGTGTATTTGTGTCTTGTGTCTGCACTCTACTTCCTGATGATTCCGCGATATTGATGCCTGAGAACAGTGGCTGGACGAGAATGGACATCGAAATGGTGAACAACTCGGAAAAACTGCAACACGTTCATTGAGTCTCTCATATCGTACCACGGACAATTTTAATGTAAGGCCATCAAACATCAATTCGTTAATGAAAACAACTGAAATCGGTCACGATTATCGTGCACGTGAATTAAAACGCGAAAATGGATTTCGACCACGATTTAATGATTTTGATAATCTTGATCCGCATCCAAAATTTGATAAAATTAAATCTAATATTGCACGTGGTAGGGCAAAGACAATATTTCCGGATAAGAAAATTTTCGGATCACTTGGTAGTTTGGGACTTGATATTGGTAACAAACGTAACACACTTAACGAGACATTAAATGGAATTAAATGTAAAACAAAGACTGATGATGGTAAACGAAATATTGTAAATAATCACGATGATTGTTCGGATCGTATAATACGACCACTGGATCAACCGGATTCGAAAAATATTGGCATAATGGAATTAAAGAGTAAGAGCTTTGTGCTTCCGGATCGTTTCCCTCCAAGATCGGTTATGCAGAACGGAAGTTTATCGAGGACTGAAATTCAGTCACCAAAATTGACGAGTCCTCGCAATCATCATCATCATCACCAACGCACTTCACCTTCTTCTTCTTCCAGCACCAATCATACCACGCTAATTACACCATCACCACCTTCTTCAACTGCTCTGATGTCACCTTCACGGGTTAGAACCTGGCACCTCCAAAATTGTAGATTGCACGGTCTCGTTGTTATTATTACTTTTCCACATACACAACACTTTCGATTTTGAACAGAATTTCATTATTGTTTACAAGAAACTATTTACAAAGTAGTGCTACCTCCACATAGTGCCATCTCTGAACACATTTTGTACGAATTTTCAATTCGTTTGATGTTGTGACTGTTAGCTGTTGAATCGCTATTGTTAAAATACTATACAAGTAGAGTACTTTTCTAATTCGAAGAAAAAAGTCGACAGAACTATTTAAACATAAGTTTGAATTTTGCGCCGATTTCTTTCAGTATAGGTTAGTATTCGCCTTTTTAATAGAAAAAGAGAAAAAGGTATAGTGGGGGAAGAATTGGCGCCGTGGTGGAATCGAAAATCCTCCACCTGCTCGCATCTCCGTTTCTCGCGGTAGCACCGCTTCGACTGCCGGATCCACACCGGGCACTGGCTTATATAGCCTACCGGCAGGGTGGGGGTAGCTGGCCTGACTGTCCCCTATTGGAGGGGCGACGCGTGCGCATTATCGACTTGGTCTGTCGCCAGGACCGTAACTAAAACATCCGTGCCTGGTGCTACTGCGAGTAAATTTCAGAAATTACGTAAATTATTTCTCGTTATAGAAATAATGATTATTTATAACTATAAAACAATAATTACTACATTAATTCAGTAATTATTCTTTTTTTAATTGTAAAAATAAGTTTTATAATTTTAAATAAGGCACAATTTCCAAACGAATTGAATTTAACCTCCAAGTATTTTTCCAACGAACCATAAATATTTTTTGTTAATTTAAAATGCATTGTTTTTAGACAACGAAAATGAAAAATTTTAATTTGATGTAGAAAGTAGATATTTCCTTATATTCGTCGTAAAAAAATATTAAATATTATGTTATACAAGTAGATTTATAATTTAATGATAAATTTGAAATTTTAATTAAAAGGTATATTGGTAAAAAATTTTCCTTTTAAATAATTGTATTTACTATACGAATATCGATAACAAAAGAGCGAGAAAAAGATTAGATTTTAATGGATTTAGTTACTAAGAATTGTAATTTCCCGATTCAGGTCCATTTTGAAACGAAATACAGTTAAATTAATCGTAATTCATGAATTCTTTTAATAAAATTGTAATTAATAATTATAATACAAATATTATTTATGTATTTAAATATTTTTTTCAAAAATAACACGTATTCATAATAGAATTTAATTGTTAATTTTTCTACTGCATCATCCACTCACTATAGTTGTGTATAATTTTCCATGTGTAGTAACATTTTGTAGAAATTTTTTCTCATCTATTTTACTTTGTTCACTTAAAAGCAAAGTGTATTATCGAATTACGCTTTAATATCGGAAGAACGTTAATAATTTATTTCTGCTACATTCTGACAAGTATTGCAAAAGTTTCAATTCCATTTCAATCATTGTCAATGGAGAAATATTTTGATAGAAAATCACATTTATAATTTATCACAAACCTGCTTTTTTACTCTTTTAATGAAGCATATTTAATTAATCTTCTTTTTTCTGTTCTATTTTAAGTGTATTTTATTTCGAAAATGTTTTTTTTTAAATTCCTTTAATAAACTGGTTGGCTATTATTAAAAAAATATCTCATGCTTTTCTTCTTCAGTGCACAGCATGCTTTTCACATAACATGTCAGGCGCTTTTTTTGAAATAAAAATATCAAATTATGAATTATTTCTAAATACGATCAATATACTCGAATTCGTTTTCTTAAAATTTTAAAAAAATATTTTAAAATTATTTGAAGAATAGAAATTTTTATACACAAAAATACGTAATAAATCTTGTATAGCATGTCTTATGTGTAATAATAGTTATTCTTTAAAAAAATGTATAAACCCTTTTCGTAAATTTAAATAATAAGTTTTCTTCTATTTTTCAGCCATTCGATCAGAGAAATTGCCAATCGTCAAGGCCATACATGTCACAGTAAGTAAAAATATTATAATTTTATTTTTACAAGTGGAAAAAAAATTACAATAAATATTTTTCCATTTTTTTTTGTTTGTAGTGCATTAAAGGAATCTGGTTATGAAAGCGATTCAACATTAATATTTCGTCGACGTGAGGACGTCAATTCCTTGAGTCCTTTGAGTCCCTTGGAGCAGAGATTGGCTTATAAAACAGTACAAAAAGGTGGTGACGTACCACTTCATGGTTTTCGGAAAGCTGCACCAGAACGTCCCAAAGGTAAGTTCACGAATTTTTAATAAAATTCACTTTTTATTTTGGGTACACAATTTTTTTAGAAAATATTTTCCATTCTCCTGTTTTTGTTTTATTAAAACACAAGTTCACAAAAAATTTTAATTATCTCTTTTTCTTTTGTTTTATAAATATAATAAAATTTTCGGTGTAATAATTACTAATCAGGCATGTTAGTAATATAAAAGGAAGGATATACGCTGCGACCTGATCAGCATGAAAATTTTATTTATTTCCAGAAGAAATTAGATAGAAGGCTTCTTAAGCATTTTTGATCGTATTGCAGAATTTTAAATTTTCGTTTTAATTTAAATTAGCATTGTGCATGTTATTTTTAGTTTTTTAGTTCTATTTCTTCGGTTTAATTATTATTGTAGGGGTTTTGAATTATCAAGTTTCTCAAGAACTTTCTTTTCGGCTTTTGCTAATGTTTTTGAAATATTTAATTTAATGTTTATTTTTCTACATGATTCAATTTTTAATATTTTTTTTATTTGTTGATAATTAACCATACATTTTACGATAATATTCATTCACTGTCGATTTCATAAAGAGAATGCAAAAGTGAGAAGTTAGTGAGCGGAGGTTGGGAGAAGCGGCTCCCCACTATGCGAGGCATGTGTGTCAGGGAGGGGGAAAGGTTGGGCATGCGCAGTAAGGAGGCTCGCCTAGTCTCGAGTTTGCTAGCTTCTCACTCGCGCAGTTTTTTTTTAAATTATTTATTCAATGCACAAAAGCTTTTTTGGTTCATTGTAAAATCTCAACGAACGCCTTTACATTTACACCCGTCACTGTCTTCAACGTCTGTCGATATTGGTATGCATTTTTTTCAATTTTTCTCTTTTTTCTTCACACATCTCGTGCACAAAATGAAGAGGATTTCAATCTAGCCAAAAATAAACAAAAAAAAACAATGGCACGCTGAATTTTTAAAGTGATCACTCACGGCTTTCTACTCTGGTAAAAGGGAAATTTAGGAGAAATTCATGATTAACAGGCAAACATCATAAAACTCTCTGTCCACAGACGACACTGAGATCGAGTATTTCCCTATTTCGCCAACTTTGACGCGGATTCGAGTTCATCGAAAAAATCCCGCTTTTCTACTTTCAAAGTCGTCTATGACGTTTGCTCGTTACAAGAGGACAGCTCCTTCTATGGCGACCAATTCTATTAAAAAATCCACTTCCGAAACCCATTCTTTGGACGGAAAGCAATCAATAAGATTACCCCAAGTGTCATCGATTCAACCACCATCACCGCCAAGAAGACAATCTTCGAGAAACAATCGAACACTTAAATTTTATTCAAAAATTTCCACCTCTCAAACACCAAAACGACACGAGCAGTGCTTCACTGTTGATAAAGTTTCTAGCATACGATTTTTACGCGAAAAACTCAACAGTAATTTGGAAAAACATAAAAAAGATCGGGAGGAGGCACAGAAAGTACGTTCAGTTAGACCTGCTTCAACAAGTCCTTGTTCTAGAATCGCTGATTCCAAAAAAGTCCAGACTGTTACTCGCAGTCTTGATAGATTTCGTTCCCGAGAATCGTCCTCCCCTTGCAGGGAACCGCAAGAAAAACTTTTTCTACCAAACAAAATTTACCCGGTGGCAAAAAGCACTAAGACAACAACTTGTCATCATAACGGAACAAAATATTTAGTTCCCCTAAAAAAGGAAGTTCGACGAACGAAAAAAGAGCAGGACGAATCCTGCAAAAGACTCAGTAGATCTACTGCCGATTTGTCTGATTTGAAAAAACCGCTAGTGAAAAAGAATTACTTCAAAGAAAGTTTGACGGAAATCCAAAAAAGCCAGAGAATTTCAAAATATTGTTCCCACGACGGCAAAAGAGATATTTCACGCGATCAACGCTACTCGAAGGAATATTCGAAACAAATTATCACTAAGGAGCAAAATCTAAAAAACCCCATCAGGTCCAAACATCCAACTACCACTAGAGATCTCTTACGCAAAATCCCTCCAATTGTCACCAAAACATCGACAGCGACACCAAAACCAAAAATCAAACAATCTGGAAAAATTTTACAAAAGTCCCAAGAGAGTCTCAATTCAAAATTATCGACCCCAGTAACGTCTCCTTTATCCACTCGTAGAAACCCAACAGAAACGGAAACAAAACACCCCACGAGGGAAATTACACCCAGTGAAACTCCGCGTAGAAAAAAATTCCGCGACAAAAATCAAAAACCCCTCACAGTACTGATAAATCCCAACGAGAAATTGACAAAAAGTATGAAACAGGAAAAATCGAAGAAGGAATCGATGCAAATTACAAAGAGCAAAAAATCAAGAAAGAATGGTTCTAATGAGGAAATTCCAACCCTAACTGTAGATCAGATAAGGAAACATCAGGAAGCCACGAGAACTGATACATTCTTCCGAAGTCTCTTTCTTCGCGATTTATCACCAACCCCATCGCAGACGAGCACCTTGAGACGAACAGCAGTACAGGAGAAGGCGCGCATCTTCCAAGAAGTCCAACCAGATTGTTTCAAATCCGAACCATCGCTTAGATCATTAAATATCTACTTATCCAACAAGCGACCAGTGTCCAATTCAAGATTCAAGAATTGGGAACGCGAAAGTCAGTCATCTAGGTGCTCGAGTCCCAGGGGTGGTGTTTCCTGGACTGGTCGATCAATTTTCCAGAAGATTAGAAAATTTGACAGTTTAGGTCCTGAGGAATTTGGATCTTCAGCATCGTTGCGAGGCAGAAGTCCCGATTTAATGCCGGACATAAAGGAGAGGAGTTTAAGTGAACCACCTTTAAGAAGTTTACGACAAAACGAACAGATCTCCAATTCCCTATCGCCCTCTTCCCGAAGAATTCGTAATTTAAAACAAGATTCCGATAGTGTGAGAAAAATTAAAGCACGCAGTGCCAGTGATGCTGAGGATCCTAAAAAACTTGTCTTCAGTTCCAATTTCTCTCTGACAAGGAGTAGTAGTTCCCTGAATACTCTAACGACTGATCGGGAAGATTATCAGCAATACATTCTCGAGATGCTTCACTGTAGGAAGAAATCTAATCGTTACAAGGATTTATACGACTTTTATTCCAGTTTAGAGAAAATGGGTGAATTGGAGAAAACGACATCGACTGGTGATCTTAGACCACGAATGAAAAACGAGGAGATTATTGATTATGATAGATGGAAGGAGGTGCGTTCGAAAGAAAAGGCCCATCAGGAATTAAAGATACTTTACCGAAAATTAAGTAACGTGCAAAAGGAAAAGGATTTCGTGTACAGTACCAAAGATGTCGATAGATACAAATGGAGAGGGGATTCTGGTCTCCGATTAAAGGAGAGATCTGTCGAGAACATAAGGGAACAATTTAAGAAATTGGCTAACGAAGAAAGCGAATTGGAAGCATCCAGACAGAGGGAAATTGCATCCAAGAAGGATGTCTACAAACCACTTTGGAGAGGGAATTCGGTCGTTAATGTCGCGAACTCAATGGACAAAAAAGACACCGATAAAATTGAAGGCGACAAAACGAGCGTCTCGTGCACACTTCAGAAAAGTCTCGGTGGGAGTAAAAAGTTTTGGAGCAGCCTCTCAATAGAGCAGGTCAATACCCTAAAGAATCAATTGAACGAAATTTACGGCAGTGATAATCCGAAAAGCAAAATTCAAACAAAATCCCCCAAAGAGAAGATTTTTCCAGAGGAGAGAAAATTTGAAATTGTTGTTCCTCCAGAGACGGAAACAATAGAGAAGAAACTTCACGTAAGATGTCATTCGATGATTGTCGATAAAGAGGAATCAACTTCTCCTAAAAAGAGAAGTGATTCCATAAGTCGTGTTCGTAGTCTGGAGAGATCTCAATCAGATCGTGTAACACCGTCATCATTATCCGAGTTGGAGAAAAAGCGTCTCTCCCTCACATTGAGCAAAGAGGTGTTGAATAAAGTACAGAAACGTTCAATCAGTCCAAAAGAAACTCGAGGAGCTATCGCAGTTGCTTCATCAAAGAAACCGAAACCAAAAAACGAATATCTTGTGGTATTGACACCAACTAATGACACCAACAATAAACGAGTGGAAAACGTTCTTGATGAATGGTCCAAGAGGACTCCAATACTAGCAGTAAATGTAGCCGATTCCCTTAAAGTCCTTCCATCCGGTAGTGAATTCGACAGTGCAAGTTCGGACACATCCGTAAGAACAGTTGTTCCAAAAATTGAATCCGAACAACAAGTACCGCGAAAAGTGGAATTTTTCGAGAACATCAGCGAAAAAACAGAGACAAAACTATCATCATCGCAAAGTTATGCCGATTTAAAGGAACTGTTTGGCGAAATTGAAAGCGCCAGATATGCGACTGTCGATGAAATTCGATCACATAGGGGGATCGCTATCAGAGGAAGAAGTCCATCCGCTTCGCCTGACAGTAACACGCGACAATTGCACGCTTGTTTAAGAGACCGTGAACATGATAGACCACGCAGTGTCAGTCCATGTCGAGCTGGCACATCGACCACCTCATCCTGTAGTCTCGAGAGTCTTTGGCTTAGAAGCACATCACCCGATCCAGAGAGATATTGGCGATCCTATCTAAAACTCGTTCGTAACGGTTCAGTACGTCGACTACGCGATAAATTCGAAAGTCTCGAGGATCTTCGTGATTGTCGCGACAAACTTGTCCTGACAAAACGCTATCAAAGTGATCCTGAATTGGCACGCAATCTATTAAAGAAATCATTTATAAAACCACAGGAAATATCCGATGTTGCATGGCTGAGACGGAAGTATGAACCAGTGAGAGGAAGAGCAAGACGTCGCGGTTATTCGCCACCAATACCACGTGTTCCATTACGACTCGAGGATTTATCAATGCCCCACATTAATGTCATCAGTAAAATGGCTGAACTCAAGGATTCATCAAAAATTATCACCAGTAATTCCATTGCTCGCAAGGAGGAGACAATGGAACTAAAGGCAAAACGTCCCGTTTGTAGGGTGAGGGAGAAATTTGAAAAAACCCCAAAATCTGATAAAACATCATTATTAGGTGAAATGTTCACTTCGACACCAAGTGTTCATGAGTTGAGGGACATTGCACCGTATTTAGCCGGTAGGTGGGTGGCACACAAATTTCCCAATCGACGCGATAATGCCAGATCATTATCATCGCCACCTGAACTCGAAACAAATGACCGAGGTCCAAATAAGGAGGAAGGATTCTCCGATGGTAGTTCAATAACACCACCTAGAAGACGTAAGAAATTCGAGAAACCAAGAGCCACATCTTCATCGCCAGTCAGACCCAGGACACCCGTCTCAATTTTAAAACACTCACAAGACGATGTTTTTGCTAATCAACCATTTGATCCAAGTAAACATCGACCTAGATACAGATATCAGCCACCACCTCCGCCACCCTCACCAACATTTCGACGAGAATCACGACCATGGTGGCCACCCTTACCAACATACACTGCAAGACCTACAGTTACATTTGAAGGTCCATCATCATTTTTGTAAAGTAGACGCTTATTTTTCTTCATTATGTTTTCTAAATAATCATGATTAGAAAAAAAAAATTATTGTGTGTCAACGATTATGGGGTAATTATAAAACATAGAATATTTAAAACCCAATGTTTTTAATTAAAAAAAAAGATTCGAATTTTAAAAAAAGTTAAGCAACGCCAATATCGATAGAAGGTAGAAGAGTTGCGCCACGAAAGGAAGTTGAATACAAGTGTAAAAAAAATGCTTCCATTATCAACGATTTGTGCTAGAAAAGCTACTTATTATTTTCGTTTTTTTCGCTCATCCATAGAGTACTCGATCGCACCACCACCACCACCGCCCAAAGCCCAGCACTACAGAAGCGATTTCCAAGGTAATGTCATCTTTATTGTCAAGCATTTAATTTTCATTTTTCATTCACATTTTTCGTCAGTTATCATTAATTTTTGTTATCATTATTACTGCTCTTGCTGAAACATTAAATGATTTTTTTCAGTTACAACCGTAAAAATAGTTCAATTATTCATAGATGCAGATTGCACGTAAATTGCGAGTTGAATAAAAAATTTTTCGTTTTAGTTTTTTTAATTTAAGAAATATTTTTGAAAAATTGCAGCAGCTGCAAGCTTGCAACAACCTCGGAGTAAATTTTTTCAGATTAAGGGCAAGATCTTTTTTTTTCTTTGATAGTTGATTGTTTAGCTTGTTGGTTAGGGTCTTTGGTTAGCATCCGACAAACTCGGGTTTAATTCCAAGACCCCTGTAATTTTTTTAAAAATATTTCTCATGAATATTTAGTTCCAAGTCGCAAGGTTTGTTGCAAGCTTTTGTGCTATTGAAATTGTTGTGATTGAACTTTAATTGCAGTTGCTATGCTGTTATGTAATTATGTTAAACAATTATGTAACAAAATTGTAACATTATGTTATGTTACAGTTATATATTACATATAAATGTCATGTAAAGGTTACAAAACTGTTAGAAAAAAATTACATAACTGTTACAAAACTGTTTTATCACTGTTATGTAACTGGTATAAATCTGTAACAGTAATGTTACATTACAATAACAATCATGTTGCTTAACTAATCATAAAGTTACTTAAGCTACAAAACTGTTACATAACTGTAACATTAATGTTACATAACTTATATTAATGTTACAAAACAGTAACAATAATGTTACAGTAAAGTTACTTAAGTCACATATCTGTTACAACACTGTTATAATATTGTTACATAACTGTTACAAAACTTTTACATAATTGTTGTAAAAATGTTAAGAACTATTACAAAACTGTTACAAAACTATAACAGTAATGTTACATTACAATAACTATCGTGTTGACTAATTAATAATAAAGTTACTTTAGCTACAAAACTGTTACATAACTGTTGCATAACTTTACAAAACTATTATATTAATGTTACAAAACTGTAACAATAATGTTACTAATGTAACACTAAAGTCACTAATGTAACTATAAAGTTACAAATGTAACAATAAAGTTACTTTAGCTACAAAACTATGACATAACTGTTACAAAACTGTTATATTAACGTTATATAAATGTAAATTTAATGTTCCAAAACTGTAACAATAATGTTACAAAACTGTGACAAAACTGTTACATAAATGTTATATTAATGTGACATAACTGTTATTTTAATGTTATATAACTGTTATATTAATGTTACAAAACTCTAACAATAATGTTACAGTAAAGTTACTTAAGTCATACAACTGTTACAAAACTTTTACATAATTTTTACAAAACTGTTACAAAACTGTTACATTACAATAACTATCGTGTTGCCAAATTAATAATAAAGTTACTTTAGATACAAAACTATTACATAACTGTTGCATAACTTTACAAAACAGTTACATAACTGTGATATTAATGTTACAAAATTATTAAAAACTGTAACAGTAATGTTACATTATAATAACTGTCGTGTTGCCTAATGAATGATAAAGTTACTTTAGCTACAAAACTGTTACATAACTAGTGCATAACTTTACAAAACAGTTACATAACTGTTATATTAATGTTACAAAACTAACAATAATGTTAACAATAAAGTTACTTTAGCTACAAAACTGTCACATAACTGTTACAAAACTGTTACATTAATGTTACAAAACTGTGATAATAATTTTAACAATAAAGTTACTAAAGCTACAAAACTTTAACATAATTGTTACAAAACTGTTAAAAACTGTTACAAAACTTTTTTATTACTGTTATGTTACAGTTACAAAACTGTAACAGTAATGTTACATTACAATAACAATCGTGTTGTTTAACTTATAATAAAGCTACTTAAGCTAGAAAACTGTTTCAAAAATGTTAAATAACCGTTGTATTAATGTTACAAAACTTAAATGTTTCGTAAAGTTTCTTAAGCCACATAGCTGTTACAAAACTGTAACATAACTATTACATAATAATTATCCCAAATAATTTATAATTTTTTCTATATTATTTAAACAATTGTTTCATAATTTTTTTCTATAATCAGATAATGTTCTTTTTTAAGTATGTCGCATGCAAAATGAAAACTATCTATACATATATGTAAATATTTCTCTATACAAGAATTTTTTTAGTAGTACATAAAATTTAATTGCACGCAATAAATGGAGCATTTTGTTGAAAGTGAAAACAATTTTTATCTAAAAATTATTCACTTTCATTTTTAATGTAGAAAAATGTTTAAATATTTTAAAGAGAATATTGACGAGTTAACATTTTTGCTTTACATAAAAAAAAATCTAAATGCTATAAATAAAATATTTATAGTAACAAATGAAAAAAAAAGTTACCATTCCCAACAGTGAAAATTAGAAGAAAACAATAAAAATTCTGAAGTCCCTCGTTTCGTGTTTTGTTCAACAAATTTTAAAAACGTTCATCCACTTCATGTCTTGCATATAATAATATATATGGTCAATTGCAAAAGGGGAATTATATGGTTTTTTTTCATAGTATATGTTTGTAATAGATAATAATAGGCCTCGAAGCAACATACTTGAGCCGCATATAATTGTCAATATTCGCATGTTTCTGTGCACGTAAATGTATATTGAGAAAAAAAAACAATAATACGTGATTAACAAATAAAAAAAAGGTCAAGCAGCTTCTTTCCATCGATCAAGTTTTATCGAATTATTTCTGATGCATTGAATTGATTAATAATTTTCATTGCGAATCAACGCCAATTTCAATGATATTTAAAATGAAAATTCTAATTTTCGGAAATTTTTATTTTTAAAAATTTTAGTTTCATAAAATTTTTATTTTTAAACTTTGAATTTCGTAAAATTTAAATTTTAAAAATTTATATTCGCAAAATGTGAATTTCGATAAAATATTTATCGATATTTTCCATTCTTGTTTCTTTGAATAAATTTTAAATGAAGAAATTTAACGAAAATATATCAATTTTAATTAAAAATAATAATAGATTTACCTGATGTATAAAAAAATTTCCCATCAGTTTTAACGATATTATTGACATATTTTTTCTATAAATGTATTTTCATTTAATTTACAATTGACACAATAAGAGTCATTCATACATAAAAAATAAATGTGATCTCATCTTAAATAAATTGAAGGAAGAAGAGATAAATTCAATAAGATAACAATATTAAGGAAACATTAAACTCACTGTCATTTTAAAATTAGAATTGTATTTTTGTATTTATATTCGTATTGATTTATTTTATTTTTAATTATTTCTTAATTTTTTTCTATTGAATATTTCTTTTAAGTTTTTATTTTAATTTTAAAGTAATTTTAAGAAAAAAGTTGTAATTTATAATTATAATAATTTGAAATTATATTCTTCAAAGTTTTTATAACGAAATATAGTAAAATTTATTTTTTATAATTAAATAAATAATTATAATAATTTATTTTTGATATTATTTAGAAATAAGGAAAGGAGATTTTTTTAGCAAAACTTAAAAAAAATTGGTATTTTATTTTTGAAAATTTAAAAACAAAAGAATACGAATTTTGTTATTTTACTATGTCAATATTTTCATAATAAAAAAATTGACTTAAGGTACAATAGACGAATTTTATATTTGAGACCCTTTTCGTCGCGCCGGAAGCAATGAGAACAAGGCGATCATTCAAGGCTGAAGATTGAACCGCTTCTTAACATAAATTAACCTCCGTTTTAAATCAACGTGACCTTTTATTAAATGGTCCTTCTTCATGAGAAAAAAGAAACTTTTTAGAACTGCTTTTTTCTTTATTAAAAAATCGTCTGAAAAAAATTTTTAAATTAATTTTAAATCAATTTAAATTTAATTAAAAATTAATTTTACTTACAATTTTAAATAACAATTTTCCATCTTTTAATATAGAAATTATAAAAAAAATAAATAAAACAGAAGTATAAATTTTCAAAAATTATTTATTATTGCAAAATTAAATGCAAGTAAAAAAGTTCCATAAAATAAGAATAAATTTTTAAATTCAAATCTAAATATTTTTTTATACATCAAAACATTTTTATTTCTCGTAATTTCAAACAAGAATGCGTTTACGAAATCTGATATTAGTTTTGTTTAATTTTAATGATCTGGTAAAAATAATTCGAAACAGCAAAAAAAAGACACTTTTGACAAAGGAAAAATTTAATTAAAGAGATAATTTTTTTTTTTACTTTACTTATCACATAGTGAATTGTACAGACAATTTATAAATGACAAAGATATTTTTTAAAAATTTGGATTTTATTTTCCCAAAAAAAAATAATAGTTTCGCTAGGTATTCATTTTTGTAATCACTCCCGCTATCTAATCGAAAAATGATAACGCATCAGATTGTCAATACATAGAGTTGGAATTTGAAGAAAACAGATCATCAGAAAATTGTCTTGAGAAGCTATAGTCAAACAAACGAAAAGACCTTGATGAAAAATAAAAAATAAATATTAAATGTTTACATTTTTTTTTACGTAAATACGATTAAAGTAATTTTTCTCTAACATTAAAAGTATATTAGTTTTGATAATTTTTTTTTATCTTATATATCGAAATAGTATTTCAAAGTTATTTAGAAATAATTTAGAATCTATAGATATCTATTATATTATTTATTATATATGCTGTCTCTGGTTGAAAATACAATAGAATTTTGAATTCGAATAATAAATCAATAAAAACTGTCCGAAAATGATTGATTTAAAATTTTTTTTGACTTTGTTAATATTAGAATTAACAATAAAATTTTTTTTTCTTTTAATATAACTGAAAGCATGTACAAATTTATCAGGACAAACTTGGACAGCAGACAGTTAAAATTTCTTTTATAATTATTCAAAACAGTTTATAATGGAAGCGATGCATTTA